CGACCGATCCCCGGAGGAGGAGGAGGATCATCTTGAGCGTAGCACAAAAAAAATCAAGAGCACCATGTCGGATCATGGTGATTAAGAGATGGAAGAGAGATCAGCACTAACTGACTTACTAATGGAGGAACCAAGCACTCAGAGGAAATCTTTCAAACAAGCACTCACAGCAACTAAAACCAATGAGAAGGCGTTTGATAATGATCTGGATCGCCTCTCTACTGATGATGAATTCCTCACTGATGAAGAAGATAATGGGGCAGAATCAGAAGGGGAACAAGATTTGGGATCAACCTCAATGATACCTAGAATCAAACTCCCTTGTAGGCTTATCACATCGATTCGCAAACCATGGAAAGATTGATTGATAGTTCGTCTTTTGGGCAAAACGGTAGGGTTCAATTTTCTGGTCCACAGATTGAAGAAATTATGGGGGCTACAAGGAGATTTCGAAGCTATAAACTTGGGGCTTGGATTTTCCTTGATCAAATTTGAAATGCTAGCCGACTGCAACAAAGTATACATTGAAGGCCCTTGGATAATTATGGACCATTATCTTACAGTTAGAAAATGGGAACATGATTTCAAACCTTCTGAAGCCAAAGAGGTTGCTACAGCACTCTGGGTCAGATTTCCACAACTACCAATTGAATGCTATAATGAAAATGTGCTATTTTCACATAGCCAAGGTAATCGGCAGACCCCTCAAAGTGGATCTCAATACAGCTATGTCAATCAGGGGAAGATATGCACGGGTATGTGTGGAAGTCGATCTCACAAAGCCCCTAGTTTCCAGATTCGCCATAGGTAAATACAATTACACAATCGAATATGAACATTTACATTATTTTTGCTTTGCTTGTGGGAAGGTTGGTCATAGGAAGGAATATTGTCATCAAAAAGGGGTTACAACGTCGGCACCGCCACCGGTGAGACATGGGGGCACCAACGGTACTAAAGACAGACCAGAACATCATACAAGGGCTACCACAAGTGGGCCAAAGGACAACTCAACCCACCAAGAGGAGGCTGATTTTGGCCCATGGATGCTGGTTAACAGAAGAACCCGCAAATATATGGGGAATAGTCGAAATGCAGGATCTCATACGACCAGTAGGCCCAATTATAGATTTGGTCCACTTGTCAACAAACAAAATATGCATAGCCTAGTCGACAAACAGAAGGGGAAAAGAATACAAGGAGCCCATGAAACTATAACCCACAAAACAGTGTTAGAAGTAGCCCATAAGACCCTTTCACAAGGTGAGGGGCCGTCTAACTCAGTTAAATACAATTTAGGTGAATCCCCCACACACTAGTACCACCACTGCGACATCACATCCTACGCAGGTATGCCCTGTGAAGCCTATGCTTGCTTCTGAAATTAGTCTTGCAGAAGGAACTGACATTACTTTAGATTCTCTAATAAGTGAGCTTGTTCCAAGCATTCAACCAACTTCCCCTGCTATCACCCTCTCTACACCACCCATATCTCCTCTCATAACCATCTCCCCACCTCCCCCAATTTCCCTTACGCACCCAGACCATCACCCACCCTCGGGTATTCAGGCCAAACCCAAGCAAAAACCTCCTGACTCTGAATATGAGCGACAACTCCAACAACGCAGCCATGGAGCTAGTGGAAGTACAACTATCCAGGATGACACACAGTGCAGTGGGCTCGTACCTCGAACCCGAGAGCGAAGCAATGCACCAAGTAGGCATTGTCTAGTGGATAGATGAAATCCGGCTGAACATCGAACCCAGATGGCAGAGCGTGGAAGGAAGGCCTCTTCAGGCAACACAGATGGCAGCCCTGCGTCCATCTGTACTGAACAAGAAACTAGTGCGTGACATACTTGGCTTGAATCCCTCAGAGCCTTTACCAGACCTTCCCAATCGTTTATCAATGAATATCATGCTATGGAACTGCCGGGGGGCCGGCAACAAAAACTTTCGCAGACATTTTAAGGAACTCGCCAGAACTCACCGCCCTGATGTGGTTGCCCTCTTTGAAACCAAGGTTATGTTTAGCTCAATGGGTCTCTTCTTCAACAACTTAGGCTACACAGCATCCACTACTGTTGACCCTGTGGGTCGAGTTGGGGTTGGGGGTATTTGGCTCCTCTGGATCCCCACACAAGTTTCTGTCAGTGCTTTTGTTGCGAACCAGCAGGTGATTCAAGCCACTGTAAAACGGAAAGACTATGAAGACTGGGTCCTGGCTGCAGTTTATGCAAGCCCTAGCATCAGGCTCCGGCAGACATTATGGGAGGACTTAGAAGACACGACAAACTCAATGACGAAACCTTGGCTTATTGCTGGAGACTTCAATGAGATAAGTGAACAGAATGAGAGACGAAGCTTCTCCCAAAATATACAACACAACAGAAGCCGTAAGTTCACTAATAACATACATAGGTGTGGCCTTATGGACCTCGGCTGCACTGGCCCCAAACTCACTTGGACAAATAATCGCAAAGGGCTGGCCAACACCATGGAAAGGCTTGACCGAGCACTCTGTAATGAAGACTGGAGAACTATGTACCCAGAAGGCGCAGTCAGAAATCTTCCTCGTACTTATTTTGATCATTCTCCTCTCATCATATACACTAAAGGTATGACTAAACTCTTCTCTTTTAATCGTCCTTTTCGGTTCGAAGCTGCTTGGCTTTCCCACCCCAGTTATAAAGATGTTATTTGTTCTTCATGGAAACGTGAGGTTTCCTTGAACAACAATCTACATCAAGTGGCTGTTAACTCCATATCTTGGAATCATAAAATATTTGGTAATATTTTCAATAGGAAATTATGTTATTAGACTACATAATTTGTGTGTGCAATTGTTTAGACTACATAATAGTCTTAATTTTTTTTTTGATTTTTGATTATTTATATTAATAGTTTGAAAAAATTACTCATAAATCCCATTTTGATAAATGTTGCTCTAGTTAGTCTTGAGTGTTTTTTCTTAAACCATTTAGTCCTTTTTATGATTTCTCTTCCTTTTGAACATCAACAAGCATCAACTACGTCATCAACATCATCAACATCAACTATCACCAATATCACTAAAAAAACATTAATAAAAATTAGCAACATCATGAAAAATCAGCAACATGGGTGTTGAATCTATCATAATTGGGATCAGAACAACATATCACAAACACCAATCGCAACACCACAACATCATTAGAACAACATCAACAAACATATCATCAACATCAACTAGAAGAACATATCATCATCATCATCGTAAAACATCATCATCATCGTAAAAACATCATCAAAACAACATCATGAATTTTAGGGCCTAATCGTATAACACAGTGATGTTCTTCAGCGGCGTTGGAGGAGATTCAAATTAGATCTGTACTTCCCTCAAATCAGATCGAATAAGATCTGTCACTGGTGTAGTTAATGTCTTCATCAAACATCAACAATGGCGGATGGGTCTACGAAGCGGATGGCGATCCACCCATCAGAGGGAACTCCGACAGTGTTCCTCTCCATAGGATCCACCAAATAGAACCCACTGGGTCCTTCACTGGATCATAATTCCCAAACCCTTGTCCAACAACAAAGACATTAAACCCATGAAGATGAAGTGGATGACTCTCAACCCCCAAAATACTTGTTTCCTGCAAAATCAACTCCACACTGGTATTAAACCCCAACATCACCGCCTTCGTCCCATTACTCACCATCGTGTTGTTCGGTGGAGAACCCGTACAGTTAAACACAAATGTCGGGTTAGCCGGAAAATCAGAGGAATAAACTCCACTGAATTGCCCAAAAAAATGCGATTGTAACATCGCAACCGATGGGAGAGAAAACGAGATCATCATCGTAAAACATCATCAAAACAACACGTGGGTTGGTTAAGGAATATCGAGCTTGGTGCGATTTGAAGTGCGAGATGGCCGCCGTGATTTGGGGAAGGAGAAAACCGTTCGTCACCGGCTCTAGGGTACATCGTCAACATCATCAAGATATTGCTCTGGTTCTCTCTCTGCGATCGGATTCTGGCGGCAGAGCGGCCAGGTCAACAACACCGGATTTAGCCGTCCTCCGCCTCTCGTGTTCTTCGAATGGGGCCCCTCGTTCGTCACCAGCTCTAGGGTACATCGTTAACATCTTCAAGATGTTGCTCTGGTTCTCTCTCTGCGATCGCCGGTGGGATCCAAAACCCAGATTCGATGATGTTCAATGTTAGAACGAACCACGAAGCCGGAGAGGTCACCAATCTCAAATAAATCCCAATTTTCAGATGACGAACTACAACATTGGTCACCAATTCTCGGTTCGGAAAAGGAGGCATAGAACGAATCACAGAATGATTCTCAAAAAATGGAGCAACATCAACTATCAGATCTGAGAATTGGAGTGTATGAGATCTGATGTTTGATCAGGTTGAAGTTGTAGTTGATGTTGATGATGTTCAATGTTGGTGATGTTGATGATGTACAATGATGTTTGATGTTTGATGATATTTTATAATGTTGGTGATGTTGATGATGTGTGATGATATTTGATGATGTAGTTGATGATGTTTTAGTGATGTAGTTGATGATGTTTTGGTGATGTTGTTGATGTAGTTGATGTTGCTGATGTAGGTAGTGTTGCTAATGTTTTGAAAAGAGGGAAATTTAAAAAATACCTATAGTGAGCTTTTAACATTCAAATAGGATTTATTAGTCTATAAAATAAAAAGCAGGATCAAATGATTTAACAAATTAAAATTTAAGATTTATTGATATTTTATCCTAATAATTTATTATTTATTTTTTTTATGTATATTATTTTAAAAAAATAATATAAAATACATATTATAATTCTAAAAGAATTGTTCACGCATCCCGATCGCAAGTATATAATAATGTGTGGGTGTGTTGGGGTTTGGCTGAGAACGAGCACACAACCCAAACCCAAACCCAAACCCAAACCCAAACCCGTCTCTCTCATCTCTGCTCCTGCTCTCTCTCTCTATCTATCTAGGGTTTCGCCTTCCTCTGTCTCTTTCACACAACGACGGCGCCGATCCCCCGTCACCGCCGATCGTCCCTCACCGCCGCTGCTGGTTTGAGTTTCGCCTCTCTCTCTCTCACACACGATGGCTGTTGCTCCCTCACCGCCACTCCTCCCTCACCGGCGATCCTCCCTCACCGCCGATTTTCAAAGGGTATCTCCCTCTCTAGGGATTTCGATCTAGGGTTTACATACATATATATATATATATGTATATATATATATTTGGGTGTATATATAGTATCTCTCAAGGGATTTCGACCTCTGTTTCTTGTTTTGTTTTGTTTTTTTTTTCTCTAAATTTATTTGTTTTATATATATATATATATATGATCAGTTTTCAACGATCTAATCACTTGAGTTCTTAATCTGTTAAATATATATATGTGATCTGGTTTTTATTGTTAAAATATGTAATCTCAGTTTATGTCATGGATTTCAAAGTTATGGGACTTGATATTTTAGTTCAGTTACTTTTTTTTGTATTATGTTTGAAGCCTGACGATGATGTTGAGAAATTAGCCAAATTGAATATGGCTATCGTAACCATGGGTTTAAACTGCAGTATTGGCCAGTGTAATATTGCAGTTGTGTTGACTTTTGTCATCTATTATCTTCCATTTTTTCTTAATACTGACATTTGGTTTGCTATTCTGTGTGTAGAAAGAAACACCACTAGGATTGGCTACACAATCTGCTCATTCAGGTATTTTCTCTTTATTGATTGTGACCTCTGAGTGTATTTTACTACTTCTGGTGTGTTCTGAAGTCGAAATTATGCGAAGATTTCAGAAAGGAAAACAGTTCTCGACCTTCATCATTCTATTGAGAGAGAGACCTGTTTTGACCTGATTTGGAAAAATTCACAAACATTCATTGGTAGTTGAAGTTGTTCTAAACACAGTTTTGAATCTTGCACATATCTGTTTTTTTTTTAATTGTGACCTGAGGCTGAATATAATAGTTGGTCTAAACACAGTTCAGAAAAGAAACAAACAGAGAGAGAAAATTGATGATTCCATTAGTTTTGTTATTAATTGTTTCTTTGATATTTTCAAATGTTTAGTTAATTTGTTTCTCAGTTCCATTAATTCAATCCATTAGCTTAGTTATTATTAATTTGTTTCTCAGTTCCAGTAATCTAATTTTATGTTGCTTCTGTTAACATTAATGCAATCCATATTATTTTTATAAAGGTTAACATTAATCTAATTGTTCTTTGTGCTTGTGATGTGGTTGCTGAATTTTCCTTTGTGTGGGCTGTGCTTGGGACTATTTTGTTGTTTACAGATGCTATGTAGACAAATGCTATTTTGCTATTTGAATATGCTATTTTTTTTAAATATTGAATAGGATATATTGACAGATGCTATTTTGTTGTTTACATATTTGTTATTTTGAAAATATGTTGACAAATATGTTTGTATAGAATGTTTACAGATTTTTTAATTTGAAAATATGTTACTAATATGTTTGAATAGGATGTTTACAAATTTTTTAATTTGAAAATATGTTGACAAATTGAATAGGATGTTTCAAATCAAAAAGAACAAAAAAATATATATATATGAAATGTTACTATAATTTGGGGATTTTTTGGGGCCGGGGATACCCGATCCCCAATCGAGGACGGGGGCGGGGGAGGGGGAGACGACAAGCTTCCTCCCCCATGGGGATCGGGGCGGGGACGGGAAATTTATCACTTTTAGGAATCGGGGACGGGGAGTGTAGTCCCCGGCCATTATTATTATTCTTTTTGCAATTCAAGGTAATGACACTTGGATCAACAGATTCGGATCGTACTTAAACAGATCTATTATTGAAAATTTTTTTCCACGGAATTTCAAGGACAACAACCATGAACCATGATGTCATAAACGTAGATCTACGGATCTGGATATCACAAGTGAGTTGCGATTAACAAAACTATCTTCGATGTAAATTGTTTGAAGGGAAATTGTTAGTGCCTCGAATTGAGCTGTCTCGAGTGACTTGAATTTCTGTTCCTCGGACGGCCGGATGAAACATTTGTCCACCGCGGTTGTCAACCGCGACTGTCAGCCCTTTTGTTGGACGATCGGTGAACAAAAATTCCAGCCATTTGAGGCAAAGCATTGCTCTTGTTTGAAATATATGATGCTTTTTAATGGGTGTTTATAAATATATATACATATATATATTATTTTTAATTTTGATATTGAATAGTATATTTGTTTCAAACAATATGGCATCTCGTTGTATTTCAACCTTGAGAGTAAGGTTAATTTTAAGGGGTAAATTCGGATTATTTTAGAATATTATTTTGTTATTATTATTTATTATCTAGGCTTCGTTTGGGAAGTATATTGACTTTTTGATTTTTCTAGTTTGGGACTCGAAATCTCGTTTGTGGTCAGCTTTTAGAATTTTTTTTTATTATGATTTAATTGTGACACTTTATCTTATTAATTTTTTTGTTTATTTTATACTTTTATGATTATTTTAACCCTAACATCAGTTTAGTCCCATGCCAAATAAAGGCCTAGTAATTAGAACTTCAGGTCCCTTTTCTTAACAAAATTAACACACTAACACAAATAAATAAATAAGAAAAAGAAATTGACAAAAAGAAGAAATTGAAAAAAAATAACTTTTAAAAAAATGAAGAAATTGGAAAGAAGAGACCCACCTCCAGGGGAGACCTCTGTTGAATGTTGATCCAATCAACCTAAAAGATGATGTAAAAAGTAGAGAGAAAATGAAATTTTTGATTTTTTCGTATAGATTATAGGTTTTTTGGTTTTTTTAATAACATTTTGAGTATTAGGCTAAAAGTGTTGCATGGTAAATGAGGCCAGTTTGGGGCTAAAAAGCCTCGTTTGTGATAGGCTTTTTTGGTTTTTTTGATTTTTGTTAAAAAAAAATAAAATGATTATGATTTGGAGGTGAGATTTTGTCTTCTTGATTTTTTAATCAATTTTGTCTGTTTGTAACTATTTTAATCCGAACCATTTATGTCAAACATAGCCTTAAAACTCCTAATTACTAGATAATTAATAACTAACAAATATTTTTGTTTGGGGCTAAAAAGCCTCGTTTGTGATAGGCTTTTTTGGTTTTTTTGATTTTTGTAAAAAAAAAATGAAATGATTATGATTTGGAGGTGAGATTTTGTCTTCTTGATTTTTTAATCAATTTTGTCTGTTTGTAACTATTTTAATCCGAACCATTTATGTCAAACATAGCCTTAAAACTCCTAATTACTAGATAATTAATAACTAACAAATATTTTTTTTGGATAAAATTGAGATAAGTTCAAAAGTGATGGTACATATTTTGTGATAATATTATTTAATTTTGTGGTAACGTTATATATTTTTTTATTCAAATATTTTTTAGCCAAAAAATGTGTGAACATTATCACAAAAATGTTCATTTACAATTGTCGAAACTCTACTAAAAAAAAAAAAAAATCATAAAAATACGTAACATATATCACAAAAATACGTCATATAAGATGCGTGCACTTTTTGAGGTTTGTGTACCATAGCGTTCCCCTTAATACTACTATAGCATATACACAATACACAATAGCACAGAGTGTGTATTGCATGCATCTTGTTATATATTTTTGTGATTAATGTTACATATTTTTTTGTAGGAGTTATGACAATTTATATTTGAGAAATAAAGTTATGCATTTTTGTGATAATGTTACGTACTTTATGATGTTGTTACACATTTTGTGATTAGAAAATGTTTGAATAAGAAAATGCATAACACTATCATAAAATGCGTAACACTATCACAAAATATACGACTTCATTTCTCAACCATTAAGGTATTTTATGAACAATTTTATCCTTACAAATATTTTTTGAACATTTAGCAGCTTAGTGATGGGAATATTCACCTTAAAGAAATTTGAAAATGTGAATATTTACGTTGATAGTGTGAATGTTGCATTTGACAGTGTATGTTCACATCATGGAATATTCAGACCGTCAATGTGAACATTAATGCACAGTTCATCGTATTAATATTAGAGATGTTTTGGTAATTATGTTATTCATAGGACTTGTTGGAATATAAAAATTAACTTAAAAGTAGACCATAAGCGAGTGAAAAATGATTTATGAGTAAATTATTTTTTAATTTTCAATAATAGTGAGAATTATATCACAAGTGAGTTGCGATTAACAATACTATCTTTGATCTAAATTGTTTGAAACATATGATACTTTTTAATGGGTATATGTATATATATACGTGAATAGAATATTTGTTTCAAAAAATATGTCATCCAGTTGTATTTCAACCTTGAGAGCAAGGTTGATTTTAAGGGGCAAATTCGGATTATTTTAGAATATTATAAGTTTTATTTTGTTATTATTATTCATTATCTAGTAATTAGAAGTTCATTCCCCTTTTCTTGACAAAATTAAGACATTAACACAAATAAATAAATAATGAAGAAAAAGAAATTGACAAAAAGAAGAAGAAAGTGAAAAAAAAATTAAAAAAAAGAGAGAAGAAATTGGAAAGAAGAGACCCACCCTGAGGGGGAAACCTCCGTTGAATGTTGGTTCAATCAAGTTAAATCTGACCTTCTTAAACGTATAACAATCCACTACCACATCACATGTGACCTAACCTATAACTCACTAATGTTGGAACTCCTAATTACTAGATAATTAATAATAACTAACAAAACAACAATTATAATATTCGAATTAATACAAATGGATCAAATATATTATTTTTAAGTTTTTTGATTATGCACGAAACAAATAGTTTGAGACAAAGTATATATTTATTCATGTATATTTGATTCAATTGGATTTTAGTTTAATTTATTTATTTATATGTAGGTAAATTTGGAAGTAGAAGGAGAACTTCATTTAGGTTTATGGTTACGAGAATTTAAATGGGAAATGCTATGGTTCCATATTCATTCTATTATATGTAATTTATGATAAATATTACATTTTTTTTATAGAATTAAGATAATTTGTGGTTCAAGAGCGATGGTACGTGTTTTGTGGTAATATATTTATTTTTGTGGTAATATTATGTATTTTTTATTTAGATATTTTCTAGCCAAAAAATGCGTAACATTAACACAAAAATATTCATTTACAATTGTCGTAACTATATCCAAAAAACAAAAAAAAACAAAAAAAAACAAAAAATTATCATAAAAATATGTAACATATATCACAAAAATGCGTAATATGGATGCATACACTTTTTGAGATTTTGTGTACCATAACATTCCCCTTAATACTACTATAGCATATACACAATACCACAAAATGTGTATTGCATGCACTGGATTATATATTTTTTTGATTAGATTTATGACAATTTGTGTTTGAGAAATAAAGTTGCGCATTTTTGTGATAATAAAGTTGCGCATTTTTGTGATAATGTTTCGTATTTTATGATATTGTTACAAATTTTGTGATTAGAAAATGTTTGAATAAAAAAATGCATAACATTATCATAAAATACGTAACACTATCACAAAATGTGTAACTTCATTTCTCAACCATTAAGGCATTTGATTAACAATTTTACACTTAGAAATATTTTTTCGAACATTTAACAACTTGGTGATGTGAATATTCATATTAAATAAATTTGACAATGTGAATATTCACGTTGATGGGTCGAATGTTCACATTGACAGTGTGTATATTCACATCATGGAACATTCAGACTATC